AGGAAATGTATTGCACTTCTTTTTTTTTATTTCAAAATTTTATGAGTGATGACTTTTCTATCAAAATTGAATTCTGGCCCTTATTAAAGACGAAATTTAATTAAAAAGACCTTCTATGAGTTTTTACCTTTTTCTCATGCGGAAGGATTATCTAAAAATCTTTTATTTTTTATAATTTAGGAACCCCTCTTTTGATGTAATTATTTTTATCTCTGATTATGTGGAGTTAAACGCCTAGTCTAGAACACTCCGTAAATTAACTTCTTTGATCCTTGATAGATAATATTCGGAAAATTGATTTTTCGTTCTGCGGACGAAAAGATTTAGGGGGTGCAAAATTGGTCTGTGTTTACAAGGTATGTACTTAACGTGATTTTTGTTAAAATGTTGTTTTTATTATTGAATATTTATTAAAATAGTTATTTTTTAAAAAATAAGTAGTTTCTGTGTTTCCTATTGCTGGATTATATCTAGAGTAAAATGATAAATATTTGTACTAGGCTGTTCTTTTGCCTTGGAGCCATCTTAATTGAAATTTATAGACATATGCTTCCTTAAAATAAGTAATAAAAGGGAGGAGGAAATGAAAATATAATCTCTCGAAAAGGGATTATTTGCCAGAGAGGTACTGATGAGTGTAATTTCTGGTTTTATAAATCGACTGCAAAAACAAGATTATGCCTTGTTTATCATTTGCAGAATTCCATGTTTGTTTAGCAGAATATAATGCGCTTTCAAAAAAGAGCCTGTGTGGGTCATATTTGTGATTGAACGGAGACTTTTGATTTGTAACTGATGACTAGAAAAAAACCTTCATTTAGGTGATATTTTTGCTGTTTTCAGCTATGGTACTCTAACTGAAATTTATAAAATAAGCATTTTTTTTTTTTTTTTTTGTCTGTATGACTTTCTAATGTTTTAAAATGTTGAGAAAACATCTTGTAAATTATTTTGAATGTTATATATGCACCATTCTAATTAGTAAGTCCTTGATAAAGTGACCACCACATACATATTTGACAGCATTTAAAGTTTTCAGTACTTTTCCATTTCGCCAGCGCAAATCTCACCAAGCAGACTTTGTTGGCGACAACATACAGTATACACATAAAATTGTTAACAAATGTTAGTTCTAAGAATTGTTTATTTTGAAGGCATTTTAAGATGGTTTAAAATTTTGTAAAAAGGCAATAAATTTGTAAAAAGTCATTAATTTAAGACTTTACTAAGCTATCATGGTTTAACATCCCGATTTGCCGGTTCGTATCACGTGACCCCAAGTGATCTAATCTCACATAAACTACGCTACAAAAATATAATTCTCTCAGTAATTATCTACATTAATTTCAAGTTAAATCTTAATTTGGAATACAAGTTTAAATACAAGAATTATTTCAATTCGTACGAATAGCTTGCTCAGAAATCGTGTAAAATTGCAGGGCTTTATTTCACTAGTGAATTCTCATTAGAATTGATGAATTTAACCCTTGATTTTGCGTTTTCTATATTTTCGCATTAGGGTGAGCGGTGTGATTGCATCCTAATTGACTTGACTACCGCGAATGATCCTAGGACATAAAATTTATTTATCTTTGTAAATATTCTATGTAATTGTATGCCCGTATTGAAAGAAACAATCAATCTGGTAAGAAATGGCTGCGACGTGTTTTGAAAATGAGGCATAAAAGGTTACCAGCGAAGATATTCCGTTTGGCATCAGTTGTACCATTATTGGCGACTTATCATTTGCGCCGGCAAAACGGAAAAGTACCAAGTTTTCTTATTATTAAATGGGAATGTCATTCGCCAATATTAGCCTTCAGCGTTTTTAAGTACAATAGCCGCTTTAATAAGGAAGGACTCTCTAATTTGTTTTTATAATATTAACAGTGCATCTCTTACCATTATGAAAACGAATTAGAAGGTCCTTCCGGTTATTATTATAATATATTCATGAAGTACAGTTTATTTCTTAATTAGTTTGTAAGCTATGCATTTTCATGTGTATTTGTTAATAACAGTACAGGAAAAAAAAAAAAAAAAATCTGTATTTTAGTGAATGCCCATCAGCAGGTGACTAGATGAAAAACTATTAAACACTGATACTTCAAGCTGAAGAATAGGCTGACTGCATAAGTATTTTTGTATTTCTCCTCTTGTGTGATGTGAATACTAACAATTTTCGAATACTCCTTGAAGGTACCCTTGTCTTAGACAGATAGCCTTTATCTGCTTTGCTGCAACTTAATGACCACTTTTTATTTTAAAGCAATTTTGTGAAATTTGAAACTTTTAAATTTTATACAAGTTTCCAATATTGTAAAATATGTTGTAGTAGGGATATGTCTTATCAGGTCTAAAAATTGATCAACCATTTAATAACAGAAAGCGTCTCTTTATGTACCTTTGCTAGAATTGTACAGGTGTGTACATAATATTGGGGAAGAGTTAAAGAAGATTGGCCTAGTATCTAAAAGAGGAGGCAAAGGACTGAGATATATGGCTAATAACACAATGAATAATTAATCGTGTAAAGAAAAATTAATAGTTATTATGCTAAAAAGAGTGGTGCATTCATTATAAATTATAAAAAGACTTATCTAAATCTTTTTATAAATTATAAAAAGACAAGTCATAGTCCATAGAATTCTATTGAGAAACTGATTTATAGTGGCCATTTACTCAATAATGTCTTTTATAAGCAAATCAATGGAATTAAGTGAATATACGCTTATTAAAAATTATTGCATGTGGTCTGAGCGTTATAAACTCCCCCCCCCAGCAACATTGGTAATTTTTACAGTTTTTAATTGATTTTAGATAATATATACTTTCTAAAACCTTATTATTTTCAGCAATGTTGATAAATTCAACATTTTTAAAAACTATTATATTTGGCAGAAGCCTATCATTAAATTGAATGTAAAAACAGTGTACCAATTTTGAAACATAAAGATCGTATTGGGCTTTTTTAAAGCTGTCTGTCAGTGAATGGTTGTAAAAATTTGTGTTTATCAGCTGTTTCATAAATAGGGTGAAACACCTGAGAGAAAATTTTATAAAGATATATCAAGGAAAAAAACCGGTTAATCTTTAGATTATGGTAACTTGGCGATTTTTTGGCGAAAATTTGGCGACCAATCCTGCTACAGCAACCTGCTAGTTTTTGTTTGGACGCCATTTTGTTTTCACAAAGTAAAGGTATTTTTTTTTACTCAACATTTTTTTTCCAACAATCTGCTAGCCGACTTACGCTTATGCTAGAACTTTTATGGAACAAAAGTGCTTAATCATGACGAAGATTAGGTGCGAAATTGGGAAAAAGTGCAGAATTGCAAACTCCTTGCCGCATTTTTCAAAATCGCACGTACACAGTAACCATGTACACGTTGACTTATTTTTACTTAAAAAAACATCCCAGAATTGCACAAAAATGGTATTCCTCATGCTCTTGACTTTATCCATCTAAACTGCTATTTTCTCATAAATTACAAAAATTTGCACGAAAATGCAGGAAAATTTTGTGAATCTTTAAACTCAGTAAAAAGCACATATATGAAATTACCTGATCGCGAAAAATTTTATACCCTATCCAAGGATGAAACATTTCCACGTATAATATAAAAAAAATATCCAAAAACTTTTACCTCTAAATATCTATTATAAACGTCACCAACGAATTCATAACAAAACATTAAAAATGGTTACAAATACTTAGTGTCAAATATTTAAATTATTTCCATGCACGTTACTTCCACTGAAAGTATACCAAATTGCTACAAACATATAATTTACAAAATAACTATCATTTAATTAAAATATAATTAAACCATGTGCACGTTGACTTATTTTTACTTAAAAAAAATCCCAGAATTGCACAAAAATGGCATTGCGCACACTCTTCACTATATCCATGTACACTGCTTTTTTCTCATAAATTAGAAAAATTTCACGAAAATGCACGAAAATTTTGTGAATCTTTAAATTTGGTAAAAAGGACATATATGAAATTACCTAATCGCGAAAAAGTATATACCCTTTCCAAAGATGAACATTTGCACGTATAAAATAAATAAAATATCCAAAAACTTTTACCTTTAAATTATCTATTGTAAACGTCACCAACGAATCTATAACAAAACATTAAAAATGGTTACAAATACTTAGTCTCAAATATTTAAATTATTTCCATGCACGTTTACTTCCACTGAAACGTATACCAAATTGCTACAAACATATAATTTACAAAATAACTATCATTTAATTAAAATATAATTAAACCATGTACACGTTGACTTATTTTTACTTAAAAAAACATCCCAGAATTGCACAAAAATGGCATTGCGCACACTCTTCACTATACCCATGTACACTGCTTTTTTCTCATAAATTAGAAAAACTTCACGAAAATGCACGAAAATTTTGTGAATCTTTAAATTTGGTAAAAAGGACATATATGAAATTACCTGATCGCGAAAAAGTATATACCTTTCCAAGGATGAACATTTGCACGTATAAAATAAATAAAATATCCAAAAACTTTTCCCTCTAAATTATCTGTTATAAACCTCACCTACCAATTTCTAACGCAAACCATTAAAAATGGTTCCAAATACTTAGTGTGTCAAATACTTAAAATTCTTTCCATGCACATTTACTTCTCAAACGTATTCCAAAATACTACAAACATATAACTCTCAAAATCATGATCATTAAATTTAAATTAAAAAAAAAACACTACTTAAAATATAAATAAGCACATACATTAAATTAATAAAAATTAGCGTACAATTTTAATTACTTTAAACTAAATCATTGCTAATAACAATTTTCCAATAATACCATATTAATTTATTTACTCCTTACATTTAGAACAATGCATAAAAATAATATCCTCAAATAATTAAAAATACTAACTTACGTAATCTTCTACAGAATCTTGAGTGCATGGCGGATCACAAAGTGTCCATTTTCACCAGATTTCTTGCACCGCCATTCAAACTTATCTGTAATATGCTTCCTTTAACACAATCTCATTTCATACCCACATGTTGGACATTCATACTTATCCGCAATTAAGCAATTCTTTTCAATTACACATAACGCAATAAAAATTTCGGATTTACTTTATATAGGGCCATGAGATCCAAATATTAAACAACACTGTTTCACAGAACATAGAATGAAACTAATGCTGTACAGCAGAGATTTTTACAAATTTACCCCCTTTTCCGATTAAAGAACAGTGATTCATCCATTAATGTCACATGACATATCTCATGATCTCTCATTTCCCTCACACAAAATAATGCGTAATCGGAACTGAGTATTTCTCACATTATTCCCAAAGTCCTAGGTAGTAACCTTTATCGCCTCCAAAATGTCGCCAAACTACCTGTTAACATATTGCAAAGATCAGCCAAAAAACCTTATGTGCTCTACCATAATAACCTTATAGAAAATTTGGTTAAGTTGTGTTTATTGACTTGCAGTTTAAAATACAGAACTGCCATGCTAAAAGAAAGAAAAAAAAGGAAAGGAAAGAGGTGCTGCAATTATACTGTTAATAAAATATTACAAAACCCCACAAATCTGTAAAGAATTTTCATAGAGCAGTGGAAAACT